AGCGACACTATGTCGCCTGGTCACAACAGACTCCAGGCCGGACAACTCCGACTTAACGTCTGTATTCCAGTTTCCAAAGACCTCAAAGTATTTGCAATAAAGCAGGTATTAGCAGACGTAATTAGTATCACTTCATATAACTTAGAAGCAGATGAGCTCAGTTTACTCTTCTGGCCTTTGAAATTATTATGTGTTCATCTCGTCTTTAAATAAAGTGAAAGATATCCGCTTTACGAAGTCGTCAATCGTATTGTCATCCAGACAACTGAGGTATGCAGGGTATTAAAAGTATTAATCACGAAATGTATAGCTTACAGATTACTTTAGTTCCTACCCACACGAAACACTTAGAAACAAGCAAGGCCCTGCTGTGTCGGCTGACGCTCTCTAGTGTTACCTGTGTGAACGAAAGGAACAGCTTACCGATGGTATTCCCCGAAAGCTTGAGTCATGAAGAACGTAGTCGTGCATATCCAGTTGGTCCCGTCTAAAGTTCTTCTGGCAGCCGTTCTATTACCCGAGCTTATAAGCCGATCGATATTCTTGAGTCTAGCAAGGTACCAAACAGTGGGCCTTTAGCAAATAACCAAAGCGACTCTTAAACTAACGGTTTTACGGATTGATAATATTCTGATAGAGTAATCTGGCCCCACAAACAACTCGATAATTTGTCGCATGACAACGCGGGAAAATATATCATTTTTTGTATGGTTTATCCCAGTATATGTTCTATGAGATTCTGCTCTTCGCCACCTGTCTTAATGGGAGAAGTTTGCCTGTTCAGGCTTTCTTCTGGGAATACAGTTGTGATATTTTAGTGAGAGCTTACTTCTTAGGTAAACTCGGCTTAGTCTCGACAGGATCCACAACGTATACATAGTGAAGGTGTCTTGATCGACTTTCGCCAGAAGTCAGTATGTTACCAAAAGGCGACATTTCATGAAATACTGTCATTTCTCAAAGGAGTACTCATATCTATTATCCTCACTACGCCTTTTCAACAGTTCAGAAATCGGGAGCTTCCCACATATTTTAGACATACTGCAAGCGACCTGACAGCTTAGAGAAGTTTTGAGGTTCAAGTCCTGTGTAATCTTTCCCTTGAGCCAAAATATTCGTAGTCAGTGTGCTCATGGCCAGTCCTATTGAGTTTTTCGAGGTTCTCCGTGTGATAATTCTCGGAACTCGCCAAACG